AAAATCGATACTCGGAAGAAGAACGACGATATGTGCAGAAGAACAGAAGAAACTTAAACAGTTCAGGAGATCAGTATACTGTAGTGACGATGGGCCGGCGTGGTATACCAAAACCGACAGCCGATGGGAAAGAAAGGTCTCTTTCTCTAAGTGGCTGCGTCGTACTGGAAAGCGCTTTTGGGTGACCGCCACTAGATGGAGCGACAAACTGATTAAACACGGCTCAGGACGAGCTATCTACAGGGGGGCCTTTGTTCAGACTTGCAATGTGTTGTACTGACAGCGAATAATATTATCTTGATAAGTACTTTTTCATCAATTGAAAATTCAAAAACATCTCCTCGGCCTTCTTTCTGCTGTGAGAGCATGCCGCAATAAATGCCGCTACGTTTTAAAACATAACATCATGAAAAGCTTGGGCCTGAAAAGCGCGGGCTGCAAAGGCTTTGCAGCGAGACTACAACAAAGGGGAGAAATATAGCAACGCTATACAAATGAATGCGCTCGTAAACGTTTCTCTAGCATAATGAACATTTTTAACATTTAGATAAACTGCTTCGTATGACGGTTGTAACAAACTTAATTATAAAATAATGTAACTGTTTTACAATACCATTTAGGCTCAGTTTTCTACTATGGAAAGTTTTCCTATCTATACAAATAAATAAAATTGAAGTGTCTGTTTGTAATATCAAAATAACAGCTTTTTCTAAATGCATATGAAAGTTCATACGGTACTTATAACAAGAAAACTATTTTTAAAATTTTTATCTGTCTGCCTGTTTGTTCCGGCTAATCTCCGAAACTGCTGGACAGATTTTGACTAGAGTTCCACTGGCAGATAGCTGATGTTATAAGAGTATTTAAGGTTAATTTTATGTTATAAAAATAATCAGGGTTCCGCGCAAAAAAATTAAAACCCATGTAATCCAATCATAATAAATTCCACGCGGGCGAAGTTGCAGGAAACAGCTAGTATAGAATAAGGGCGACAAACGAGCACACAGTCAAGCTGATGGAAAGTGGATGCTGTGGCCCATTGACATCTATATCTGTCTTCGTTTAAGAATCAAAATGCAGATGCGTTGTCAGCCTTGAGCACTAAGATGAAATGCCTCGTTTCCAATAATAAGGTCTTCGGTACTCTACAGTCACTATACGAAACACAACAATATTAAGCTGCTATTTTACATTGGTTTTTGTGAGAGTTTAGTCCTTTCCCGGTCGAGCCAACCCATTGGTGCTACAACCATAATATAGCTGCAGCGTGTCTCTACCACGTATATATAACTGGTGTAAATGAGACGGCACATCACCACCATCTATCGATGAGCATAAAATGTCTCTTGCCTTTCCCATAGTCTTATTTAATTGCCGATTGTAAATTGATGTAAACTAAATGAATAAATCTATATGACTCTACATTGGGTTTCTCAACAAAAAAATAAAAAAAACAATCTAAACAACGATGTATCAAAACCTTAGGACGATGTACCTAACTAAGAATTAGAAAACAATGAATCCTTTTGTATGTAAAGTATCGCTAATAAACGCAAGGTAGTGATCCACCGACGGATCACTGACTCAGGTCCGCAGCCGCAATTAGCAAGTCTGTAATTGCATATTTAGCCTCGAGCATTCATCATAAAAGTAATTTAAGTGCTTATTAACCTACAAAATACATATTGGTGCATGCTGCATTGTGGCGGAATTGTAAGAAAATCTATCATCAGTTTTGTCAGTATAGTTCCCATGTATAATTCCGGGGACTAAATTGATAACTCTACAAATGTCTGCTACATTTACTATTCGCGTAGTGTTAGCCACTTTTAACCGGTAGATATTTAAATCGTAAAGTTTTAAATGTAATTTAATTTTACATTGTGTGTATTAGAGTGTATTCAATTGTCTAATTGCAACATTCAATGTATTGCAATATAATTTTTATCATTACGTATTTTATGATTTTTACCATGTAAATAAAAATTACCTGCCACATTAAGATGATTCTTTCTTGTGCCATGACATTAGTATGTACCCCATGCATTAATTTTCCTTTTGAAGAATATCTAATACGGTTATATTAATTCAATGTGATTACTAAATAAACTTACTAAATCTATACGTCAATAGGTAGTAACATAAACCAAAACTACTTGTAAATGTCAGAAGCGCCAGTTTATACAACATATTTGATTAAAAATAGACTAATTGGGATCTATCAAATTCGTGAGAGATTATTTAAAAAAGCGCGCGGTAGACGACCTCGTATCTTCCAAAAAATCGTACTGCAAATTAGTATTAGTAGAGTAATTGATGAATCTCTCCAAAGAATAGTAAAACTATTTGTCGATTACAGATTTTATTTTTTAAATTTAACGCATGACAAAATACTATTAATTCTATTTGAAACTGGAAAATGCAAGATGGCTTAAAGCTCGGGTTCGCAAAAGAACGTCAAAAGACACGTTTTTCCCACTATTTATCTGTAAATTTCTGCTTTCATGTTCTGGGATCGCCATTAAATCTGACCTGTTGGTAACGTTATTTTTTATAGAAAATGAGACAACAAAACAGCTCACCTGATGGTAAATAATCACCGCCGCCCTTGAACTTCTGCAACACTGAAGGAATAGTAGGTCCGATGATGACCTTATAGGTTTTCTTTTATTAAACTGAAGTGACAAACGAATTTATAGTTCACCTGTTGATAAGTGGCTACTGCAGTCTACGTACAACCTGCAGCCAAGACTGTCATCTGTGAGGACTAACATGGAATGCCTGACGATCTGTAAATATACCGGCTCTCTGTACCCTTCAGAATGGAATACAGCAATGCAGAAAGAAGATGTAGTGACAAAAATTGAGAAAGGTATGCTGAAACGGTTTGGCCATGTCGAGAAAATGAATGAAGAACGATTGACGAAAAAAGTGTATAAGGCGAGTGTGAATGAAAGTGCTGGAAGGGGTAGACCTAGGCGGACATTTCAAGACCAAATCAGGGACTTCTTGAAAAAATGCCAGGTCAAGAGCACCCTAAACCGTAAAGCATGTATGAAGAGAATAATGAAAGTGGACGAAGCGAAACAAGTATATAGGGATCGTAGCAAGTGGAAAGAAGTGGTCTCTGCCTACCCCTACGGGGAAGAGGCGTGATTATATGTATATATGTATGTAACAACTGCTACTTGACGGCAGGAATAGGTATAACGGTGATACCTACCCTGACGGACTCAGACTTATGCAGATAATTTAAAATTATAAATTTTGTACAAACGACTTCAATATAAACTATTAAGAATAACTCAAACACTATTAGTCTGACTTTGATCAAATTTATATGGGACCACATGTGAAGCACCAGCTTTCAAATAAAAAAAGAATCATCGAAATCGGTTCTCCCAGTAAAAAGTTATGAGGTAACACACATAAAGAACATAAAATCTAATTGAGTACCATCTCCTTTTTAAGTCGGTAGAAAAGGAGTTCTATCACCTATCAAACGTATTAATAATAAATAGAAATCATTAAACCCACAAATTTTGTGCGCTTCAAAAATAAAACTTCTCTCTACACTTAAGTCTCTCTCGCCTGACTGGAGATCTACCTCGCTCAAGTGTTAAATTGCTTTACAATAAAAGCGGTGCAGTTATTCAGAGTCTAGACAGGGGGAAGGCTTCATATCTATGCATAGAATATACTTAGAGAACCATTTCTGGACAGTTCGTTTACGAATTTGTTCCCATTTACGAATCTGAATCATGTCTATAGATACAAAGAAATAATGCAATAGGTTAAAAAAAAGAAAAAGCGGCAATTTGAAAATAAAAATTAAAGGGGCGAACTGTTCATTTTTAAATTGCCTATTCATTTGTGCCAATCGCAAAATAAATAATGCTTACTTTACGAGGAGATCCATGTTATGAATCTTTATTTCCATTTCGTTGGTTTCGTTTTAATTAGATCAATTAAACATTTACGCCATTACGGAATGAAGATTATGTGGGATTTTATGTATTTTTTATTACTTGATGTATCTTTAAAATAACAAGAAGATACCTCCTAAAAATTACACAAATAACGACTAGCGCGGCATTTTGCTAGGGAATGCGCCTTTTAGTAAATTAATTATTATACGTGGTAGAGCCATGCCGCAGCTATATTAGTAATATGGTTGTAGCTCGAATGGGTCGGCTCGACCGGGAAAGGACCACGCTCTCACAGAATACCAGCGTAAAATAGGAACATAACACTACTGTATTTCGTATGGTGAGTGTAGAGAACCGGAGACCCTTTTTACTGGAAAAGAGACATTCCATCTTAGTCCTCACGGGTGACAACACATCAGCATTTTGAGTCTTTATTGAGGATACATGTAAATGTCTATGGGTCACAGTAACTACTTACCATCAGGTAGACTGTGTGCTCGTTTGTCATCCTATTCTATAAAAAAAAGCTCATTATTACTCACCCGGTGAACAAGTAGTAGACTAATAGTTTGGTAAGCGATTGTTGGTGCGGACTGCAAGCTATCAGTCGTTGGTTCAAATCTGCCATTCGGCTACTTTTATTACGATTAATCTGTGATTCCTTTAAGCAGCTAACGGGAATATTAGTATTGTTGACAGAGTTACTATTTTAATAGGATAAGGATGACAAACGAGTACACAGTCCAACTGATGGTAATTGGATGCTGTGGCATTTGACATCTACATTTATCCTCGATTAAGAGTCACCCCTGAGGACTAAGACGGAATGCTTCGTTTCCTGTAAAATTGTCTCCGATTTTCTACCTCCATACGAAACAAGGCAGCATCATAATCAAGCTAGTATACTACAATTCAACGACCCATGTAATAACATCATCCTATGCTTGGGTTCACTGAAAATCAGCGTCTACGTTTTAAATTTTGAACGGCACATCACACGAGGTTTACGTGGTAGAGCACGAAGTAGAACTCGAGGTAGAGCTGGAAGAGTATGAGGTAATGAGAACTCACCGTATTCGTTTGGTGGCTCGGTGAGCGGTTTCCACAGTGACTAGGAAGACGGCGTGGCTGCGGGATGAGTGCTCGTTCATATCGGTACGGCCGGCGGCCCGGTGCCGGTTGCCTGCACGCATCGCTCGCACCATGTCCGCCGCGGACCGGCACACAACTGACGTCATCTCCGGGATGTAGAACCCGTTCAGCTCCTGTCACCCACACACATATTGCTATGAATACCATTGAAGTAGGATGTACCGCGTACTAGAACAGACACAAATCTGTGTGGCACGCGTGGAAGGAGACACATAGTACCGTTTCATTGCACACAGTGGTATTAACAGTGGTAGAGCCACGCGGCAGCTTTTGCTGTCGCACGGATGGGCCGGCTCGAACCGGGGTAGTACCACGAACTCGCAGAAAACCAGCGTGAAGTAGAGGTTTACCTCTGCGTTTCGCTTGATGAGTGCAGATGGCCGGAGGCCCTTTTTACTGGAAATGAGGCATTCCATCTTAGTCCTCACGGGTGACAACGCATCTACATTTTGATTTGTAACAGAGGATAGATGTAGATGTCTAAGTAAGTTTGAGACCGTAGGCTCTAAAGCGTGTTGCAAACAACCAAGTCTGTACGTCTCTTCTAGTACGCAGTACATATTACATATTGTGTAATGACAGTGTTAGAATATCCACTAACCCATAACCCATCGTCCCGTGGGTGCCGCAAGAGGTGACATAAAAACTATGCCAAAATGCTCTCTTTGAGACAATCGACTTTTATAGGCTGTAATGGATGGAAACATGGACTGTATTTAAGCGTCCACTTTGCATTTTTTATAGAATAAGACAAACGAGCACACAGTCCACTTTATAGTGAGTGGATGCTGTGTCCCATAGACATCTACGTCTATCCTTGATTAAAAATCAAAATGCAAACGCGTTGTCATCCCTGATGACTACGAAGTAAAAAGGCATGTCCTGCGTAGGAAATAAATTCCATAATATTTATCGTCAACGTTGTAAAAATAGACAGAAGGAACATCAATGATTTGTACTCAAGTTAGATTCACACAAGATAAGTGTTCACAAAAGTAAGAAAAGGGTATGGATTCTTAATTTATTAAAATTAAAAGAATGCCTACAGCCTCACTCGAAGATTTATACGTTTAATGCTTTAACGTTTCATTGTCTTTATATTACACGAGTTTTAAGCCGCGGTAGTTCAGGGCTAGGCTTACGCAATAAATTTCACAGTATGCAAGCAACCAAGGTTCGATCCACCAGCACCAATCAAATTGTTCATTGCAATTTCAAGCGCCTTTTTACTACATGTCTGGAGGATAATATAAATATTTCGAAGACATGTAAATTTCACGCAAGAATATTAAACGATAGAATACGCAGGATCTAGTGCTCCGTAACCTTCTCAGAAACGAGGGGCCTGTGCCCAGTTGCATACGTACTTGTATGAAGGCTGTATATTACTATACGGATGTTACTTTTTATTTTTAACTGACTTCAAAAAGGAGAAGTTCAAGTGTATTTTTATTTTTTGTATGTATGTTACGCGATATCTTCGCAGATTGTGAACCGATTTCAATGTTTTTTTTTAGAAATTGGTTTTACCTCAAGGGTTGTCCCATTAAACTTCCGCAGCCAAGGGTGGAAAATAGGGAAAGTGTGATATTGGACAATTGTTTAAAGAATTTCATATGATATCTTCGCAGATTGAGAACCGAATTTAATGGTTTTTTTTTCATTAAATAGGTACTTCTAGGGTAGTCCCATATAAATTTGGAGAAACACATCTACCCACAAGGGTAGCAAATAAATAACTTCTTTTTTAGGAATTTGAAGTCGATTTTTACTTAATGTTAAAAGTTATAATTATGTTTTTTTTATAGGATAGGGTGACAAACGAGCACACAGTCCACCTGATGGTAAGTGGCTACTGTGACCCATGGACATCTACATCTATCATCAATAAAGACTCAAGAATGCGTTGCCACCTGTGAGGACTAAGATGGAATGCCTCTTTGCCAGTAATAAGGGTCTCCGGTTCTCTACACTAACCATACGAAACACAACAGCGTTAAGCTGCTATTTTACGCCGGTATTCTGTGAGAGCGTGGTACTTCCCCGGTCGAGCGGACCCATTCGTGCTATAACTATACCACTAATACAGCTGCAACATGGAGTTGTCCTATGGACTAAGAGATGGGATGCTTCACAGCCGGTAATTACATTGGCTATCTATATTCTCCAGACCGACACGTTTTGCTACTTCACAGCAGAAATATGTAAGACGGTGGTACCCACCCAGAGGGACTTCTAGACACGAAACAATCCTACCACTAAGTAAAATAGTTTTCGAAAGTTATTTTAACTTTTAACCAAAAGTAAAAACCGACTTCAAATTGCAAATATATTTGCTACCCTTAGGGGTGAAATTGTTTTCTCCAAATTTATACGTAGCCGCTCTTGAAGTATAGTATATTTAATAAAAAAAAGAATCATTAAAATCGATACTCAATCTGCGACGATATCATATGAGATTCTTGAAATAATAGTCCAATATGAAACTTTTCCCCCTAATTTGCACGCTAGGGGGAGGAATGTTTTCTTCAAAACTTAACACGGCGAAGATATCGCGTAACATACATACAAAAACACTCCAATTGAGAACCTCCTCCTTTTTGAAGTCGGTTAAAAACTAAATAAAGATTATTTTTAATTAGATATGTAGCAATTATACCTCGGCAGAAAACAAGTCATACTATCTTGTCTTTTCAATCACCTACGCCTAAATCAACGCTTCTAGTTAGAAATTACACAAATCTTTAAAGGATAAAGCAATTATTGTCTTGAGTGTTCCAGACTCGTGAAAATTGTTAATAACAAACTGAAATTAATTTTACATTTACGTTTGTTTGTAGGCATTCTTATAAAATCCACTCAACAAGAAATTTAATTAGGTTCTTAACAACGCTACCACGCAAGTCTTGCGCCAACACGGAAACCTTACTAGATATTTCGAATAAAATTAATTAAAATAGCGTAATGTTGAAATAATGAATTATATTAGTGTTAAATATTAATTGCAATTAAAATACAAGCAGGCGTATGAGTCAGAGTCGTAGCGTAACTGATCATTACGATGTTACTCGTGAGGCCTTACAACGAGGGTTGCCAGTTGTTTATGTTTTAGAGGATCAGATAAGTTTAAATTTAAAATAAACGGCATAGAATGGAAATAAAGGATGCATTATTTCAATAAAATGCTGATTTGGTATCAGTTAAAGTCAAAAGCTACAGCCTATATACGTCCCACTACTTAGCACAGGCCTCCACTCATTTGTGTGAGGGGTTTTTAGGGCAAGGAACTGTCCGCCGCGCTAAACCAATGCGTTTTGGCGAACTTCACACGTCTCCGAAATATTTCTTTTTCTTATTTTTCAGACATGCAGGTTTCCTCACGATGTTTCCCTTCACCATACGCGTCACATTGCCTTGTCCTCTTATAAAGATTTCAAATTAGGAGACAAGATCAAATTTGGGTTTGATAAACAGACGTCTGGCAACCCTACTTACAACGCAGTGTTTAGATTGCATATAATTTCTGAACAACGTGTAGCTTTTACCACACAAACTTAATCTATAATAGTGGTCTTCAGGCAAGTAGTTCGATTATCAAAAACCCACTTTAATTTTAACTCAGTTTTTTTTGTTATTATTCTTTAAACACAAAACCTTTTCCAAAACGCATATAGAGTTATACAAAAACATTACAAATAAAAATTGATGACCAAATAAATTTACGTCAAAAAGGTCTATTCACTTCACCTTTGATACTTATTTTGCATCAAAACTTTAAGAGATAGATAATAGGGTAACATTTTGTGTGTAAAATTGTAAACTGCGAAGGTTTTACTAGGATTTTTTATAATCTTATAGATTTTGAGATTATCATCAAAAATCAATGGTTTTAACAGATTTTACAAACAAAAACTACTCCATGTTTTTTCCTCTCACTATCTCATGTGGCAATGTTCTCTACATATCTGTTCGTGAATTTTTTTTTACAATCCGTTCAGCCATTTCTAAGATTAGCCCGAAAAGACGAACAAAAATATTAAAAATGGTAGTGGTAATCTCAATGGCAAATAACCCATGCTCAACTCAAAACAAGGCAGCTCTTCTTGGACTTCGTAGGCGTGGTGGATCAGGAGCTAAACGATCGCTGTAAATTTCACAATACGTGAGCAACCTGGGTTTGCTCCCCACGGAGACCGCAAGAACAAGAAATGTGAGGAGGCCCATGCACAGCTATAGGACATACTCATCTACAAGGTGTTTGTTACTTTATGCATGTAACTCTGTTAATCTCGGACCTTACAGTAGGCAGTTTTTTGGCTTTTCTTCATTTTATCTTTTCACTTTATATTTTCGCAAATACTCTAATAAGTTTTGTTACATAATTACTATATACTACATTAATTATTAGGATTATTAGGATAACGCGAGCAAACCTGCATGCCTGAAAAATAAAAGAAAACATTTCGTAGACATGTAAAGTCCGCCAACACGCATTGGGGCAGCGCAGTGGACACTTAATTGCCCTAAACACCTTTCAGGAAGAGGCCTGTGCCCAGCAGTGGGACTTATATATGTTGTGACTTTTGTTTACTTTTTTACTTCGGTTTTATCTATACAAATAAATAAAATTGAAGTGTCTGTTTGTAATGAAATGCATATTATGCAAGTTTATACGGTACTAATATTAAAAAAAACTATTTTTTAAATTTTTGTCTGTCTGTCTGTTTGTTCCGGTTAATTTCCGAAACGGCTGGACCAATTTCGACGGGACTTTCACTGGCAGATATCAGATGTTATAAGGAGTAATTTAGGCTACTTTTATTTTAGAAAAATAATAAGTGTTCCGCGCAAAAAATTAAAACTCATGAAATCTAATTGCAATAAATTCCAAGCGGAAGAAGTCGCGGAGAATAGATAGTTTATATGAATGTTGACCGTGTAGTGGCAGTGTAAGAATGTCCACTAGCCAATACCGTCTCGTGGGTGCCGAAGAGGCGACAGAGGGAAACAAATCAGGAGACAGGCAGCAACGTCTTAATATTATTTACTACTAAAAAAATAAAAACTGCTTTCACCAACCCACCTGACGAACGACAACTATGACTAATATCCC